CTGTTGTGGAGTGAATAAAATAGGCATTTGAGGTTTAATAATTGAGAATATGTAATTTTTATAAGCTCGTAAAGTATTCTATGTATCTTGATATATTTTATACGATATCTCTCAGTCCTGGATGAACACTATCAAATAAAATATTCAGAATGAATAATTAAGTTGATATTACAACTTGTTATATGTAGTACTAAATAGATAAAGTAGAAAGAACAACAGAGAGAAATAAATTTTCACCCATGGACAACATTTTCACTTTGAAGAAATCAAATAAATATAACCTGTGTGACATAATGTTGAGTTACTGATCATAAAACAGTTAAGCGTTAATGAGGTATAGGAAAATAAAGATGAAATCAAAACGATATCTCTTGCAATCTCATTATTCTAATGAATATAGGAGAGAATATTTTTAATTCAGTAAATGAGCTTTACGTTTTTACTCAGAAGGTAAATTAGTCATGATGATGTGGTCATCAGTAATCACCGAACTACGTGGAGGACTAGGTTACATGCATCAAACAAAGTCAGACTAAGAATAATAGACTAATTCACTGGTAAAAGACAAACAGATAAGATTTGACGTGTATAAAACAGATGTTTGTATTAACATGAAATACAATAAGCAAAGGTGGAACTAAATAATTATTTTTTGAGGTCTGGTATTTCTGTTCCAGGTGTTACATCATTGAACTGTATATGTTGCACAATTTTATTTTACGTAGATGACTAACGACGATCCAAGTACTCGATACGTAGTGTAACTAATTAAAGAATTTAATTCAAAAGATCTGTACTTGTATATTTATATGTTTATTCGATACAGAAAATCTCCGTTGCTGTGTAACTTTCAGCAAACTTGTAACTTATGTGTCACACTTTCTCTTGATACTTCTAATAATCTTAAGATATTCTTCAATGATTGAGAGTATTCGTAGCTCAGGTGGTTTCTTTTGATCGTGCTTAGTTCTCTAAGTTAGTTAGTTTTAAATGGAGTATTTTCTGAAAATGTTGTCCAAAACAATGATGAAAGTCTCTCAGTTAATTCATCTAGCTCAGAGAACTCAACAACCCAGAGAAATTTTCAAAATATTCTAACAGTTTTGTAAAGTTATATTTCCAAAGCATAACATTACAGTAGTATAAAGACACTTTGTGATTGTATTATTTACCGCCTAATAAACATAAGAGAACGTATAGATGGAAAAAGCTACTGGTTACGAGTAAATTACATTTCTTATCGGAGGTGATTTTGGACGTTTTAGTCAGCTACTTTTAGACGATTTGTCTTAGAGAATACTGAGGAATTGTTTAAGACATTCATGGACCGTTAATCAAGTTAGCAAGGCCTTGATAATAATAAGTATACTCAGTTGTCCCACTCAGTTAGACCTTAACTAATGGTTAGTTAGTAAGTTTTCCTCGCTAATGCAATGTTTAAGCTTCTATTAGATTAAAATTTATTAGCCGCTGATTCCATTTTCAATCAATGAATTTCCCTTAGCTTTTTAAAATAAATCTATTCTGGAGAATGGAATGAACAATAAGTCGACTGCCATAAACCCATACCATCAATTTTTCAAATTGAAAGTACATGATCTTTAGATCTACCAAACAATGGAAACAGTTAAAATATAAGATCATGAGAACATTGTAAAAAGATGGACAAATTTCACTTCTCCATCAGGAACTCACTTAGCTGGATGATAAAGATTATGAAGTTAACCCTAAATCTGACCAAAAGTTATTGTCTAATACTCAATATTTCAAACTCTTATTGGACGAATGAATGTATTAGGTTGGAATTTAGGAGTTATTGTAGTTACCATGAACATACCTATTTTGGATTAAACTAAATGTTGATTTTATGTTGTTAACAAAACTAGTCTTCAAATAACTAATACAGTCAAATTAGGACTTCTAGAACCTTCGAAATCCAGTGACTTAAAACAAAATTTGGGAATTTGAAAGCTGTTGATTATTTCATTCTTATATGAGTACCACAGTTTGAAGATGGCTCCTAATTTATCAGTACTTAAGATTGCCATTTCGTTACAATCAGTGAAATGACAATAGCTGTCAACGTAAAATTAAAACCAAAGATTTCATACTGTAGTACATAACAGCTTTCACTTACTTATCAATTTATTGTTGTACGGCTAATGAACTACATGATTTTTGGCAGACGCGTTAAATATGCATGCACCAAGAAGTATTTTTGTCCAATATAGAATACTCCTTAAATTCAATAAACTATTCCTCTAATGAAATGATATCCCTATTCTAAAGGGTTTTCCTGGAGGAATAATCTAGACGAGAGAATGAACAGTAATTCATGGAGTTGATCATTTTTGCATAGTTTTCATTCCTAGTACACCGGTAACCAATAAATTGGACTCCTGATTAGTTTTTAAATATTACAACAATACAATAATAAAACATACATAAGGTGAACAATGTATTAAAATCGATTTTTACTTTTGTTCTGAAGTCATTTTCAGAGTGTCAATTGCTACCGTTGATCGGCAATAAAACTTATGTGACATGAAATTAATCGCCAATATGTTGGTTAGGAGATCCATTTACACTGAACAGTGTTGAGTTAGATTAATTAAGAAAAGCTTGTTAACTATTCATCATCAGTATTGTGGAAAAAACTAGCTGTTCGAATCCTGAATATTATAAATATTTTCCTAGATGTGAAATAGTGATACTAGTTATAGCTGTCTGTGAAGAAACAAGTTACTAACTCTTTGAAATATCTATCTGAAGAAAATATGACTAGGATTTTCCTAAAAAATAAAATAGATTATATATTCATTAGTAAAACAAAAGGCCATGACTCACTAAAGATTTCTCTATGATTACAAACGTTTCTTTCGCATTCCCATACTGGTCATTCTACTTATTTATTAATTGAATGTGAATTGGAATACCAAATTAAATTGCTTAACGATATGTCATAGTTAATTTCTCATGAGAATAGCACACAGCCAAATCACAAAATTTATAATCATTACATTACTTATTTTAAACACCCGATAGGAGTTTATTAGACAAATATACCAATATCATTTATCATGAATACTTTTTTTTACCTAAACTAAAATCAAGATGTATTAAAAACCTACTTATAAGTAGTAAACCGTTTTTCGTAAAAACATAATGCACACAGGCAGGTAGAAAAATAGGAAATATCCCCCTGTTTCACATATGAAGCATATTTAAACATCTGAACAGTAGATTTTTTAAAGGCCAAACAATAACCAAAACAAGTGAACGTTTTGAAACGAAGTTTTTTCTTCTATTCCCACTGTCATCCAAATGTGGTCCGACAGTATTCAGGTCAAATTGTAGAATCACATTTCATAATCACTAAAATTCGTCGGATGGGAAAAGAACATGTGTTAGCTATATTAGTTTATTAAAGAATTTCCAATTATTCAGTTACCGAAATAACAATGTAACTGTTAATTATCTTGATCAGGAATATAGTTGCTTACAAAATGAGGGAAACAAGATTGTCTCCGGCACTTAGATCCTCAAGAGTACTGACAAAGATTTTACGAAATTCCGGTTAAAATATTGCGCCTAAATGGATCTATTGTTCAAGAAGTGTGATTCACCACTAACCCTATCATATATATACCAACAATACATTTCGTAGTGTCTTACATTTAAATGTTTTTAATTAATGTTTAGTAGAATGAAAAGATGGATTTTGCCAGCTGAATATACCTGCATTCCAGAATTGATGTTCACTCCGGGACTCAAACCCAGAACCGTTCACTTCAAACGCCATCACGTTATCCATTTAGCTAGTGAGTCCTGATAGCCAACTGCTCGTGCAATGTGGTTAAGTTTAAATCCACTTAGTGTTGCTTTCTTCTATCTTCCCATTGTTGCTTAAGATTGCAATTGATCAGTCTCTTGTTGTCGTATGTGTTTCCCGTGAGGATCGCCCCGCTTCATCTTAGTGTACATAAACGTTTGGGCCACCTATTTTTCAATTGTGCCAATAATGCAAATAATGGTCAATTGTTTGCCTAGTCAGACTAGTAAATAGTCTGATAGGTGTTAGATTGGTTATATATTTTCACACCCCTATTATTATTATTATTATTATTATTATTAATAATGTGATTGCTGTGGGTTGTTGGAGTGGAAATATACTTACGTTCTGGTCAGGTCAGTCACGTGTTCTTGATCTGAATTGTTTTAAAGTCCTGTAAAATAGATACTGAGAGGGTATCTAATGTAGATGTTCGTCTAGGGCAAATTAGCATCCCATACGTGTAAAGAAGAAAACCGAGAGTCATTTCAGCAATCAAATTGTGTTTGTTTTTTCAGATTTGTTCGAGCTGAACAATAGTGAATTCTAACTCTATATGCACTCATACGCTATCATAAAACAGTCACAAGTTATCGTGATGCTAAATACAGAAAAACGTGCAGACGGAAGCACTACAGTTCTTGGTAGGTTGTTTCTTTACCTATCTTTTGACAAGATGAGAGACAAATGTACTGAGATTCAAGCAATTTATTTATGATGAATACAAAGTTAATTGTAGCTGGTAAACTTATAGAAATCTTTGGGATACTGAGTGTTAAAGACACTTTTAAGCATGTTTTAAAATAATTACAGTTTGAATGTATGTTGAAGAGGTATCTAGTGTAATATTGTACAATAGGTGCTGATGATTCTTTTATTCACTAAAATTTATAGTATTGAATAAAGCTATTATTATCACTACTATTATCATTATTATTAATATTGGTGACATTGTGTTTTATAGCCTGAATGTTTGCATGAACAATTCTGTTTATCAATTTATTTTAAATTATAAAAACTTATCTAAAAATTCTCAATAATGCTAAACTATGGTCTTACCAATCCGTTAGAATTAAGATATTTCGATTTATCAACAGTCATTCTTTGGATAAAACTTACCAATAGTTTAAAGTAAGCTAAAACTGTGAAAAGTTAAAGTAACAAGAGAGATTACAACAACAAACTAGATAATTTATTGTTTATCAAGTATCCTATCAGATTCACTTAACAAAGGGAAGAGATTTATGTAATAATAATAATAATAATAATAATAATAATAATAATAATAATAATAAAACATTATCATAATTTCTATATTGGATCTTTATTTATTAACATCAATAAATCTTCTGTTAAAGTCTCCCTTTTCTTATCATTAGCATAACCTAAATTCTGTAGATTTTTTACAGCGATATTGAATATGATATCTACGAAACCTTGGGTTTGCACTTTAGTTACTGAAAAAAAAAAGTAAAACGATAGTAAAGATAAGGTAGAGGCTTAAAACCAAAAGAAATTTTATGTAGTTATATAATAAAATACACCGCAACGTTGATGTAAACATTATTACCCTTTGTTGTTACCGATGCCGAAACCACACCACAGGATCAATAGAATGGTTAAAGCACCTTAACTTGATGTCTATCACTTATTTGCTAAAAGACGCCTCAACGATGGCTGAAAGGAGGTTCAGCAACTTTTTTAATCTAGTATAAAGTGTATCAGAAAAGCTTTCGAACGTGTGTTTTTTTCTAAATACAGCACTACCAGACCAAAGCAACAGAACCGAAACTTTAAAGTAAATAACATTAATTAGGTCTAATTAATGTCATCATTAATTTCAAGTAAAATTATGGAGAGCTCAAAAGCCCTTTTACGTTGACTTGAGATGTAAGCTCTACAACCAGCTCTGACAACTGTTAAAGGAAACACCAAGATTACGGACGATATAATGATTACACTCCAAAAAACGGGAATGCTGAGAGACTGAAACCCTTATTTTCTTTCAACAATATTGTTATACATGGTACCATTATCCTACACAAATGCATACATAAAGCTATGAGTTTTACTAGATCACACTAAAGAGAACTGGATCGGTCACACTTGTATCAGTAAAAAATCCTCAAGATCGACTGATGACAAATGAACAAAGTAAATAGCTGATATATCTTCACATTGCCACCTAGTGATGGCCAAACTAAAGATAAATAGGGCAACCAAATTAGCGAAACTACAAAGTTTAACACAGTACTCCTAAGAAATTCTAACAGATTCAGTGAAGTAAAAATAACTCTAAATAGCACGTTTCAAGACTTATGATATCTGTAAGAAGCAGCTACGGAAAATGGTTGGTAAGGAACTAAAGGAGTAATAACTTAGAAATAGCAGGAAATGCCGCACCGTAACAAAAACCAACGTGAAAATAAAGCTTTATCAATAACCTGGTAGGATCCAAAATAGGGAAAACAAGAAGATGGAAGTCAATGATAACTGAATAAGAGTAGAGAAAGTCAAGACAGGTCAAAAAGACAGAAGAAAACTAGAGAGTGAAGAAGAGAATTAGAGTTTAAATGCTAAAATATGTGCCAGGTCTAGGAACGACAACAGAATCTGCAGGAGAAGGTAATATGAAGGAACTATCTAGCGTAATCAAGGAGCTGACAGGGGAATATAATTAGATACAGTGACCAGTCAAATACAAACAAGGCAAACCAGTCAGTGAGGACCAAAAGCAGTAGGAGAGAGTTTAAACATCATGAAGAGCACCTGAATAGACAAGTAACAATGAACCCACCAATCTTCGACGCCGCACGCATAAACCTCCCAATAGATGTTGGCGCAACAACATTCAAGAAAATCAAAAAGGTTGTCGGGCAAAGTTGGGTGAAAAATGGCAGAACCAGACAGCATGCGGGATGATGCACTGAATTCGGACGTAGAGACAACTGTGAAGGCGTTACATAGTAACTTTATAAAAATTCGAAAAGACGGATAAATACTAGCAGACTAGAAAGCACAGTACTTCATCAACATAACAAGAAGAAAATATCCCAGTAACTGTGAGAACTACAGAAGTATCACACTACTACCAGTAACAAGTGATATTTTCGACAAAGTGTTGATCAGTCTGACTATAGATTCAGTAGACTTTCAACCTCACAATCAACAAGCTGGATTTCGTAAAGACTGACCATGTACTGTTCAATACAGTGGGCAGCTGGGATGGAGTCAGACAATTGGAACTCCACAAGTGACCCAGCCCTGCTATCCCACACATACCAACAAATACGAGTGAAGACAGACAGTGTAATAGGAACTTCTGCAGCAGTATGCCTCAACATTCACAAGGAGAAAAGCAAAATCCTAAAATGTGACACAGAAAGCTCAACTAATTTATGGAAGAGAAAGAGACTTTACACAACTGAGCGGCATTGTTGACAAACAAGGGAGATCTGATACAGATGTAAAGGCACGGATGGACAAAGCAAGGACAGGATTTCTGGAATCGAAGAACATCTCGAACTCAAAATAACTGTCACTCAACACCGGTTAGAATTTTTAATATAATCGTTAAGACAGTTCTAGCCTACGCAGCTGAAACTTGGAGAACCATCAACAAAAAGGTACATGTATTCATAAGCAACCGTTTATGCAAGATATTCCAAATCCGTTGGCCAGGCACCATCAGTAATGACAAACTGTGGCATGAATCAAACCAACTTTTAGGTAAAGAGGAAATTAAGGAAAAACTCTGAAGGTGGATAGGAGATATATGAGACTCCTGGTTGGTGGTCTTTGCGCAACAAGGGGTAGCAGGTGTAAAAAATTAAGCTTGTGAGTTGATTGACGTTACATATTCAAGTTGGATGGGATTAATAAAAGTAGTTAGAAGCTCGTAAACGGACAGATGGAAAATTCAATCAATCTATTAGTTGTTAACAATGGTTATGCAAATATAAGAAATAAAAATGTAAATATGATTTTATATCATATATATCGCCATGTCTACAAAATTCGTAAGCCATCCCTCTATAGTTAAAGATTAAGTTCAAAACTATGAATTCCGAAGTTCAATTCATTCAGCATCTTCGAATATGTCTAAAAAGAAAAAATGAGCATCTCAACTATTAGTCCACAATATTTTGGCTTAGTACATATAATATTAATTGTTTCCATCGTGAATATACTTGCATTGAACTGCTCGCCATGTGGAATTAACTTTTGAACAACCCATCGAGAGAATGATTTCAGGACAAAACGTTCAAAATAATCATTTGAAAAAGTTTTACGAAGCCTTTAGCTATTTGCGAAAAATGTTATGAAGCTGTCCACTAAAAAATTACTTTTCTTATAATTCTTACCACAAACTACTATTGCAAAACTTTAGATTGCATTTATTGTAACGCATATTCCTACCCAGCGTACCGCATATAGCCAGGATTGAGGTTTCAAACCGTACGTTGTATAGAATTATAATGAAATGTCAGATATTTTCAAAACTCATTTGCAATTAATTTAGTTTCTCACTTTTCCTTTAATACTTTTGTTGAACTACGTATATTCATTCTTAGTCCGATTTACACTCTAATTTGTTAGATTTCCCAATAATATACAAATATAAAACATGACAAACAACAAAATAAATTTAAGAAAAAGATGAGTCCTTAAATGCATTAATCAAGATTTAATTTGCATTTGCGGAATATAATTACTAGGATCATCTATCAGCAGGCATTTTAAACAGCATAATTTTGCAGATGTGGTACAAAATACTGGGTTTATATATTACGCTTTTTGTGTTTAACCATAAGACTAAGTGAAGTGTACCACATTTGTTTGAGATCACTATTCAATAGTGTTATGAATGATAATCACTTCGGAAGACAAGTTAACGAAGATAGATTCTTTTATCGTAAACATTAAGTTGGTTTAAAAGCAATCAAATAACTATAAGAATCTGTTTTCAATAACTAACCTCCACGACCCTCACCACAAGCTATTACTTTTGGATTAAGAAACTCTGGTCTTTTTCCAGTTAACCATGCATTCAATTTCATCAGCTGTGAAGAAGATTGGGGCACAAACATGGATACTCTTTTTCTGTGGCTAAATGGAAACAGGATAGTAAGAAACATTTACATCATTCATTTTAGTATTACCTTTATGTTAATAAATAACCATGTTCAAGTAAAATTGCATTAAACGGCAATATCAAATGTAAACCGCAACTGTCACTTTAAAAGAAATTGGTCATAACCTTAACTAGACATTGAAAACTTTAAAAAATATTTGGTTTCTCGTCACATTCACTTGCAGTCAAAGTTCTAGAATTTCTAACAGCCGTCAATCAAACGAAAGATTTTGCGTTCATTGGATATAACCTCGCTTTATTCAAATTTTAACATATCCTGTCCATTTACAAGAAATCAGATCACTTAGTTAAGTGAATAATTGTAGATAATAGTAATTAGCTTTATATCACAAAAATAGCTAACATGAAGATATATAAGAACAAATGGATGAGATGAATGAGTCTATTTACATAAATTAGCAATAACCTAGTATCAACAACGGATGTGACATCATCTGAAATAAAGCAGATAATAGTTTGTGTCACCAGAAGTTATAAAAGTGTTAAGAATAGGAATTGTAAAACTAAATTTGGCAAGTCAGTTGTCAGTATTTTAAACAACTTAAAAACTAACATTCACAGTCATTTGTCAGGTGGAGTAGATAACAGGAAATTATATTTAAGAGCAACTTTAAAATAATCAAAATACCGACAATGAACAGTTTTATTAAATTTCAAATTATAAACGCTAATTAGTTTAAAGAACTGCTTTAAACATGTCTTAGTACCAATATGCAGGTAATTCGAGAACTAACATTTTCTTATACGTTACGTTAACCTAGCTGTAGCGCACAGTTTTCGAGTATTATGAACTTTAGAGATAAATGGTGAACATTCACAAACATTTATCCATAATCCATGTGTGGTTCCAATATTATGGCAGAAACAATCTGTAAATAAAAGCAAACTATTGATGAAAAATAAGTGAGTTACATAAATCTTCACCTCTCAGTTAAAAATGAAAACGCTGAACTTGTTATCAAAACTTGATTAAAAATTTTGATCTCATGTTTGGCTTATCAATTTTTGAATATATCATCGTGATTTCGACATTTTATTTAACTTTTTGAATGTCATCACACCGAATTGAATCATATTTAGTGATTAATGTGGGGTGATGAAAAGAAATAATGAACCTCTGAATATGGATCATTCCAAAACATGCAGTTTAATGATCATTTCCGATGAAACATGTTTCCACACAATGATATTATACATATATCATCATAGAAATACATCCTGTGATGGGTGTTGGCAATCGATGGTATACATTTATCCAAAGGTTTATATTAGCAAAGCTTAGACCACAATAATATTCTGAGCACGATTGAACAAGTCCTATACTATCACAGTGCTCCTAAGCAGATACTGAACCTAGAACAAGACATCATTGCCTATGATAATACAAGTTTGTCAATCTTCTACCCAAATAATGTGAAACTTAAAGTTCTGTTTGAATATCAGCGATGCAAAATATCTCAATTGTCACATGCAAAGTGGTGATAAAACAGAATAGCTCAACTTGGGATTTTCAAAAACAAATATCCATTTGCACTAAACTAAAACGAAGTGAAAATATTGATTGATCATAATAATGTACCTTCCGATCTTCATTGGGACGTGAACGGCACCGTAACCTCGTAAAACATCCTTACCAAAGACGTCAACGCCATAAGCATGAAGGACGATTTGAGGCCCTTTAAAATTCAAAAATATGCAATAACGTACAACCGAATGGGTTTGTAGACTTCCATGAAATGTCAATTGGAAAGTTGAAATTGTTCTGATCATTACAACCAACACCTTTAATAGAAGTTTGAGTCATCCCTTCATCGAGGCCCTGCCATATTTCTGTTGTATAGGTCATTCTAGAATCTTACGGTTAATTTGGTCCAGTCTTGACCAGTTGCGAAGCAGTACTTGCACCATATATAGTCATGAAGTGGAAACTATGGGATACATCAAAAGCTTAAATATCTTACGTCAGCCTTTTCAATCTGTCCAGTGACTGACAACAGAAAGTAACCACCTAAACTACCATCAGATGACATTTTTGAAATATTACGGTACTATGAGCATAGGATTAATGCTCATCTGATGGATACAAACGCCAGATATTTGATTTCAATGTCAAAGTGAGGAGCGTGCAAAAACTAATGCATATCTGCGAACTGATAATTTTATATCATTAAAAGACTTTTACAACCCATTGTTTCCGGGCTACTGATTCATGGGTAAGCCTCTTAATCTTAACTCTTCACGTTTAACTGTAAAACTTGAGTTCTAGATCTTCCGAAACTACAGTTATCCTGCTTTTGTTTATTAGACATCAAAACTTAATCGTTACATTTGAATCAATTCTCTCTGTAATGGTTCCATCGAAGAAGAGGAGTAGCCGAACATGTCAAACCTGGAAAACGGTCGACATTTTTTGGTGCAACAAAAGAGTATAGAACAAATAATATTCTGGCACAAGTTCTGTCAACGTTTGAAAGGACAATAATAAGTTCAGAGCGGTTGGAATTTACCTACCACCTCTTGATATAGCGTTACAAAGCATCGTCAATCTAGATGTACTTAAAATCAAGTGAATTTGCATGCCAAACTCGATGTGAAATACATGATATTATTTGTGCGAGCAAAGCTAGTCAAGTATGAGAACGTCGACATGAGGCAAATTTCAGCTCTGTGTTGTACGCAGTAGAAATCGGACTTGGTGTGTGCGAATTCCCAATGACCACAAACTTTCAAAATTCAGCAGGGGCAATGAAGAAGCTTACGTCAATACTCAATGCAACACTATGACTAGGAGGGAAATGTTGTATTTTCGAACATCTTTGAATGATGTATTATAGCCAATAAATAGGTGATTTTCTAAATTGTTAGTTAAATGTCTAACTAATTAATGTTGAAGATGCCACAGGTATTTGGAGTTTGATAACGCTTTAACCAGTAACAGCTTCTAATATGAAGCGTACCCACCAATTGAAATCAAAAGACAAAAGCCAGGAGGTTTGAAGATATATTTGATAGGCTATCAATATATCGAGAATTGTCTAATCTAATCTGGCTACCGATTGCAGCAGATGTTGAGCACGGCGTTCCCACTCGTGATCTGGTGCGGATGCATGACCAAGCGCTTCTAGTTAGGTGAGTCAATTAAAACATGTGGTCAGCATCCAATGTCGAAAACTTACTTCCCCCTAGTGGAGTAGTGATGACCCTAAGACGTGGCCAGCCAGAAGTTTAAACCCAACGATTTTTGTCGTTGGTAAACACTCCTCTGATAGCTTGCCAGGTTTAGCAGCCTCTGGTCGTCTTTCCTTACTATAAGGGAACATGAAATACAATATAGTAAAAAAAATAATGTAAAATGAAAATTTTGGTTCCTCGTAAACCTCATCGTTCTTGTTATCGTGTTTTCCGGCCGTCCTGTAAAAGAAAAAAGAACATGTAAGTGCATGTCGAAATAAACTCGTACTCGCTTTAAGACACAAAATAGGCGAAAAAAGGTATATAACGTAAAAGCGATTTTTTACAAAATGATTTTTTGTTGTTTTCTTTTGTTTTTTTCAAAAAACTTTTTTCATATACATATCAGCCAAATGATAAATATATATAAATGTTAGCATATTAAAAAAATTATATATTTAATGCCATGGAAATTTAAGATAAAACAAAATGTTCACTGGTGTCTTACGTACAATAGCCATTCAAGTGATTTGGAAATCTTACTCTCCTTCCAGAACGCGTTGTTTTAATTTTATTTTCAGATACTGTCAAAGTATCATCGTGTGTTTCGGTTGTCGGATGAGGTATTATTAGTGTCGGAGTCATCTCGTGCGATTGTACCGAAGGGAAATCGACGTAGATAGGACTTCCTTCTAAGTACGTTGCTTTGAGGCAATTGATGCTGATGCTATCGTTGGTTCCGTTCTTATCGATTGTATAGCACTTTGGTTCGCGTTGAAGAACTTTGAAAGGTCCTTCGTATGCTGATTCGATAGGTTGTCGATGCGAGTCTCGACGTACGAAGGCGTGTGTTCTATATCGTAAGTCACGTTTAACGAAAACATCAGTTGATTGCAGTCGAATGTTAACAGGTTTAACTGAACGCATTGCGTTTGTAAGCCTGTTCGAGTAGGGAGATGTTTTTATGTCCATTGAAGAAGATTAAGGATCAACGAACTCCCCTGGAAGTCGAAGTGTGGTTCCATAAACGAGTTGAGCCGCAGTGTATCCAATGTCAGCTTTCACTGCATTGCGGATACGTAGTAAGACGAGTGGAAGATCATCGGTCCATTGTGAAACGTTTGCAGCTGATAGTGAAGCTTTTAGTTGTCGGTGAAAACGTTCTATCAACCCGTTTGCTTGTGGGTGGTAGGTGGTCGTTCTGAAGCGAGTGCTTCCTAAAATTGTGGTTAGACGACGGAAAAGTTCAGATTCCAACTGACGTCCGCGGTCTGTACTGATGGTTGAAGTGCAACCGAAGTTTGTTACCCATCGTTCGACGAAGGTGCGGGCCACTGTTTCAGCAGTGATGTTTTTGATAGGTAATGCTTCTGGCCATCGAGTGAAACGGTGTAATTTTCTAAATTGTTAGTTAAATGCCTAACTAATTAATGTTGAAGATGCCACAGGTATTTGGAGTTTGACAACGCTTTAACCAGTAACAGCTTCTAATATGAAGCGTACCCACCAATTGAAATCAAAAGACAAAAGCCAGGAGGTTTGAAGATATATTTGATAGGCTATCAATATATCGAGAATTGTCTAATCTAATCTGGCTACCGATTGCAGCAGATGTTGAGCACGGCGTTCCCACTCGTGATCTGGTGCGGATGCATGACCGAGTGCTTCCAGTTAGGTGAGTCAATTAAAACATGTGGTCAGCATTCAATGTCGAAAACTTACAGAGCTATTTCTTTTGGGGATTTATTTACCGCCGCAATGTGTTACGATTACAATTTTCGTATATTTTTCTTCTTGGTTGGAGGCTATCGATCACATCAGTAGTGAAATTATTCTGATGATTGTCATCTGAACTGTCGAGTTGATTCACACAAAAAGCGTATTCACAGATAGTGTTGGGCAGGTATCAAAGGAATAACACCATCCAACAAATAACTTTGCAGAATAAAATTCTATGTTTTGTATTAAACCCCACGCCTTGCAGGGGCCTGACACACTAGTAGGACTAGCATTTTCATATTCCTGCTACCGTCTTGCCTGGTAGTTAAAACAACTATTAAACAATGAAAAATTACTGCCTGTGTGAACACTGAGCTTTTTAATGAACCTCTTATCGATTCATGATTTTCATGGAAGTTAATTGAGAACATACCAATGACAATAAAAATATTAGTACAAAAATCCCAGAATTAGATAAACACGAAGTAATCTTTTCAAAGTGAAAGAAGAATTCTAAACAAATCAAACACCTTAAGAAGTCAGATCACAGTAAGTTCCTGCTTGTACTACAGTAGATGTGACATTTCTGACACATACCAGTGACTAATATTCGACTCCATCGGAATTCCCTCATTCGGACATCTCGAATTTCATCAGTACTTAACTAGACTACATTGCGTGATGGTATCAGGATAATATGTATCAGAAGTACGGGAATTGTTTGAGGTTAATGTATTGTTGTAAACTCTATGTCATTTTAGACTGTTGGTGAGTGTCCATTGCTCTGACACCCCAGTACCTTCCTGTGAAATTACTTATGTAGGCTTCAACGCTCAGAATATTCCTAAGGTGATTAGTACGCTGAAACACTCCTAAACTAGGTGGTATTTTAGCTAGCAGGGCAAAAAGCGGAGGCGATGATCTGTATGTTATACCGCTTAAACTATTTGCGGTATCACTCTCTACAGCGTGTTACCTTACCACCTGGAAAATCACACAAATCATCCCCAAAATTACGACAGAACCTGAAGCAAATGAAGTAAGTTACTAGCTCATAAACACAACCTCAGTGGTATCTGAAGTGGCAGAAAAAGTGGCTGCAATTAAACGCAACTCAATTTCGTAAATGTGCCTTTCAGGTTAGCAACCAATCAGAATGTGGCGGGAATTATTATATCCGCCATCGTTGTACGTAATGGCGGCCGGCTTTCTTCGTTCTGTGCTTCTTTTAGCTATTTCTTTTGTGTAGCTGTGTAATTAATGTTTCAATGTGCTAAGATGCCGCAGTTAGTGTAGGGTTCTACATGTTGGTGTGAAATTTACTTCGAATCAGCATTGTTTTTTGGGTTTTTGCTGCTTCTACTCTAGTCAATGTATTTCTTCAGTCAAGCTGGTTAGTCTTATGTTTTAAAATGAAAATCGGTTTAGTTTCGACTTGTTTTCAAGATATCAAAAGCGAAAGTTCGTTTTTTCTTAGCTGAAATAACTGTTGCTGCGTCCTGTGACTGACTGTCCGCATGTTCATTCCTAACTGTCCTCTATGATGTTATCGGCAAAATGAAAGGAAACAATTTCCGGTTTTTAATTTTCTTCAGTATTGCGGACAACAATATCCCACCAATGAGTCAAACTAATACTTAGTGTCTAGCCGTAGGGGATGTCAGTATTGTTTTCGAAAGTACTCAGGCTTCCGACAACCATAGACAAATTCACTGATGCTACCAATCTATTGCAGAGGGTTTGTTATGAAAAAATATGCCACATAGCAGTAATGGAGGGGTTGTACGCATTACGTAGTGCGTTAAAGCAAGCTTAACATTGAAAAGCCGGAAATCTGCTATCAGTGTGTAGTGTATGTTTGCTGTTTCGGCCATATAAGGAAGCCGAAGGGTCATGATCAGGGAGTAAAAAGGTAACTAACTGTTATTAAGCTCAGCTTTTTATAGACCATAATTCACCACTCGCAAATTTGTTATTTTTACGGTATGATGTCAACCGTTATCTAATATGTTCACCTTTACGATGAAAAGTACTTGCAAATTCTCAACTTCATATTCGAATTAATTTGTGACAACTGTCTTTCAGTTTGAGTGCTTCGTACGCCCTGGGAAACTAGATTCCTACATTATTCACAGTTCCAGTATAACTTTCTCACACAGTAAGTTCAAAGTAAACACTAGTCTTTCTAAATAAGCATGTTAAGCTAATATCCGTATTCTCTATTTCAGATGATCGATGAAGACATGTACCACGTGCATCTGTTGTATATTGTTATTTTACTCCAATTCTTACTGTTATATCTTCTGAAAAATAAAATTGCTATATGCAGCAAATACAGACTTATTGTTTTGATGGTGGTGGTGGGGTTCGTGGGTATTTTAGCAGGACTGTAGTAATATTCTCACTAAAGAACTAAGTGAGTGCGTAGGCCAATGTAAAGTACCATACAGGGTGCCTCTGAATTACTCGTGTTCCATTAGTATCGGTAGAAGCATTACTTGCTTATCATATGACATTTGGATAAGAGCTATGAGACTAGACGCAGGGACGGTTAGAATGTGTAACGCGTGTCCATCCATCAGTTTTCGTGGCAACTCATGGTGGCTAGAATAAGTTGTGAGAGGACCCGAGCCTGTAGGTTTCCCGAGAAAGTGACGGAGATATGCACCAAATCACCTTATGAAGAGCGCCTCCAATCACTTAACCTCTACTCATTAAAGTATAGACGTCTTAGAGGTGACCTATTTACTTACAGGATTTTTAACACTTCTGGACATTCTCTTAAACACCTATTTGAGCTTAGTCCCAGAAACTAGAGACACGACATAGCAGAATGGACTGTAGACGCAACTTCTACTCTTTAAGAGTTGTCGAATGCTGGAATTCGCTGCCCCCCGAACTAGTCCAAGCGACTTCCCAGGAGTCATTTGGAAGGCGACTGGATCTTTTATTGTTAACATACCTAGGTTCCTGCTTGGAGGTTTTGGTGATCCCCTGCTAATAGACACGGAAACCTGAACACATGAATTAGGTGATGAGAGGCTCGATTATCACAAGTTTCTTGCAACGATTAAGTAGATAAAACAAAGTAGCATTAGGTTCAAAAATTTATTCGAGAACTTTCATGAAAAATCGAATGTGAAACAAAGGTTTAAACCAAGTTCCAGTCTAAAAGTTGCATTTGTAATGTTAAGCTGCAGTTTTTGTTGTTTTTTCCAAACGAAAGAGTAAAAGAAGTAACTCAAAAAGTACTGGAAGTGGTTGTGAGATTAAAATGGACATCCAGCATCCTTTTTATAATCTGCTGTTAGTTGGGTCTCCCGTAAACAGATCCATAGGGCCATAGTTCTAAGGGCGAAACAGTTCTTAACATCTGTGAAGACTCAGTCCTGTTGCATTCTAAATGAGAAAACAGTAATGAATTTAGTCAGAAATGTGGAATAGATAAATAACCAAATTACATGTATTTTAGCAAAGAATTTATGCAGTTGTGATTTACCTTTAGTTCATGAATATAAGGTCAGGTCAGCTATTTATTGTGCAAAGCATAACATGGACTTAATACCGTATCTCAATGCTTTTATTATTTTGCTCTCATTTAAGTATTACCATGTATCTGCATCTAGTTTAACAGGGAGACATACAAGCAGAGTTAATGTTTGATGAACTAAAAGTCCTAGTTGTCAAAAAGATTCTTAACATTTGTCCACAGCCAACTGCATTTAATTGAAATACAGAACACTCATCTTCTAAGACTGTATACTGCTCTTCTACGGGCAAATAAAAGCTCAGATACTTAGCTATCCTGCTACCGATGTTACTGCTGGGGAAATTGTTTAATGACAGTGATCATGAAATATGGTCAGTGATAGATGTACAATCTAGAAATAAACACCAAACATACTTATCGCTATCTTATAATGTATGACAGCAACAGTACCAAAAGCACTTTTTTCCTATTTTTAATCAGACTGATTTGAATCAGTATACTCATCAGAAACAGGCAACTCTACTTACTAGGCTGATCTGTTTCGTTACAGACTTCAAACACTATACTTAAGTATACCATAATTCTTTCAACTAAACTGAATTATACGACAACCAAGAATACTAAACTAAGCAAGTGTCATAGTTATTGTTTCATTTGCACAGGCATATTGCTTAAAGTAGTTAAATGGACATAATTAAGACGATAAAACAAAAACACGAAATATAGGCCAATTGAACTTACCGAACAGAAGACAAAGAATATATATATTGCTTTCCGACTGAAAACAACAGGCAGTTGTTCATAAAAACATAGTTTATAGTACAATAAACCTTTCTACAGTAAAATCATGCACTGACTGTCTATCTGGAAACAATCAACTATGTGAATAAACTCACTATGACTTGAGATATCATCCCAGCATGCAATGGACGTGCAGTGTAACGCAGTCGAACGTGGCGAATAAAAATATAGAAAAAGATCAAAATTAGCTATAAAATCTAGTTATTTAATTAAAAATACATTATGAAATGTCAAAATCTGTGGTTACTTGAACGCACAGACGACCGGTACATTAAGTTTACATGGTTGCGTTGCGGATAAGATCACCCGAAAAAGTACCTAAGGCGGCGGTAGTCCAACAGCTACCTACTAATAATCTCGTCTTGATATCCCAGTGTGGTTTCTGGTGTCTAAGTGATACGATACATGCCTAGTAGACTACCTGAATGAATTAAATTTGAAATGAGACGAAAACCCTTTTGTATCAGTCCCGTTCTTAGACTTCAGGGAAGCTTTTAATAAGGCTCAACACAAAAATCTCGTAAAACTAAAGTCCTTTGAAATCAACAACCCACTATATTTACGACTCACTCCATTCCTAACAGAACGTAAACAGATGGTAAAGTACAATGATAATGATACAGAGCCAATCCCAGTACCTACTTATGGTGCAAGTACTGCTTCGCAACTGGTCAAGACTGGACCAAATTAACCGTAAGATTCTAGAATGACCTATACAACAGAAATATGGCAGGGCCTCGATGAAGGGATGACTCAAACTTCTATTAAAGGTGTTGGTTGCAATGATCAGAACAATTTCAACTTTCCAATTGACATTTCATGGAAGTCTACAAACCCATTCGGTTGTACGTTATTGCATATTTTTGAATTTTAAAGGGCCTCAAATCGTCCTTCATGCTTATGGCGTTGACGTCTTTGGTAAGGATGTTTTACGAGGTTACGGTGCCGTTCACGTCCCAATGAAGATCGGAAGGTACATTATTATGATCAATCAATATTTTCACTTCGTTTTAGTTTAGTGCAAATGGATATTTGTTTTTGAAAATCCCAAGTTGAGCTATTCTGTTTTATCACCACTTTGCATGTGACAATTGAGATATTTTGCATCGCTGATATTCAAACAGAACTTTAAGTTTCACATTATTTGGGTAGAAGATTGACAAACTTGTATTATCATAGGCAATGATGTCTTGTTCTAGGTTCAGTATCTGCTTAGGAGCACTGTGATAGTATAGGACTTGTTCAATCGTGCTCAGAATATTATTGTGGTCTAAGCTATTATTATTATTTGTTCTATACTCTTTTGTTGCACCAAAAAATGTCGACCGTTTTCCAGGTTTGACATGTTCGGCTACTCCTCTTCTTCGATGGAACCATTACAGAGAGAATTGATTCAAATGTAACGATTAAGTTTTGATGTCTAATAAACAAAAGCAGGATAACTGTAGTTTCGGAAGATCTAGAACTCAAGTTTTACAGTTAAACGTGAAGAGTTAAGATTAAGAGGCTTACCCATGAATCAGTAGCCCGGAAACAATGGGTTGTAAAAGTCTTTTAATGATATAAAATTATCAGTTCGCAGATATGCATTAGTTTTTGCACGCTCCTCACTTTGACATTGAAATCAAATATCTGGCGTTTGTATCCATCAGATGAGCATTAATCCTATGCTCATAGTACCGTAATATTTCAAAAATGTCATCTGATGGTAGTTTAGGTGGTTACTTTCTGTTGTCAGTCACTGGACAGATTGAAAAGGCTGACGTAAGATATTTAAGCTTTTGATGTATCCCATAGTTTCCACTTCATGACTATATATGGTGCAAGTACTGCTTCGCAACTGGTCAAGACTGGACCAAATTAACCGTAAGATTCTAGAATGACCTATACAACAGAAATATGGCAGGGCCTCGATGAAGGGATGACTCAAACTTCTATTAAAGGTGTTGGTTGCAATGATCAGAACAATTTCAACTTTCCAATTGACATTTCATGGAAGTCTACAAACCCATTCGGTTGTACGTTATTGCATATTTTTGAATTTTAAAGGGCCTCAAATCGTCCTTCATGCTTATGGCGTTGACGTCTTTGGTAAGGATGTTTTACGAGGTTACGGTGCCGTTCACGTCCCAATGAAGATCGGAAGGTACATTATTATGATTAATCAATATTTTCACTTCGTTTTAGTTTAGTGCAAATGGATATTTGTTTTTGAAAATCCCAAGTTGAGCTATTCTGTTTTATCACCACTTTGCATGTGACAATTGAGATATTTTGCATCGCTGATATTCAAACAGAACTTTAAGTTTCACATTATTTGGGTAGAAGATTGACAAACTTGTATTATCATAGGCAATGATGTCTTCTGCCAGGTCTAATGCCTGAGTATATTAGTAAAGCAATTTTTATGATTTAATAAACTGTTTGATTTCTCAAAAAGTCTGCAGAGTTTTTTGTTATGAAAATGTTTTCTCCATTTCTTAGTGCTTTGTTGAACTCAACGTTCACATTTTCAACTGATTTCTCTCATTTTCTTTGTTTAATACCTATTCAAATTATTCTGAACAATTTTATGTCCTTAATGTTTGGAGATGAAGCCATGTTTCGATGACGTGATCAAGTGTTGTTAATCAAGATGAATATTAATTGCCATTGTACCAGATACGATGGATGTGTGAATGGTTGGGCGATACTTGTCTACGTCTAATCTAGACTTCTTCTAAATTTTCTGACGATGTATCGGGCCTTCTATGCCTAAGGCAAGTGCTTGTCTCTAAGCACAGAGTAAATATTTTAGTAGGCATAATTAGTGTCAGAATCCCCATTTTTAACTTTTTAGCTGGTATCCCAACGTAACCTCCAAAAGGTTCTAATGCCATTAACGCATCTCTCACAATATTCTGCGTGAATTCTAGGTCTGTTGGTGCATGTGAGCTTAAACTGCTCTTTTTACTTTCATTGTAGGAAGCGATTTCCTACAGGTTCAACTCGAAGCTATTCCCTAGACTGTCGAACACAGAGTCTTGATTTAGGCAAAGTCAGAACAAGTAAGCTATTTGGCTTGATAAAATTTATTTGTTTTTAAAACATAAATTAACACTCTTAGTGCACAAGACAAACAGTACAGTCTATTAACACAGGGAAAAACAGGGACATAAATAATTTACCGAGGAGTAGCTAGCAAACAGGTAAAATGAGTCAACAAAGCAAATATTGTTTTATAATGAACATCAAAATGTAATTGGTGAATAAATAAGACACAGTCATACAAGGTCAAGGAAAGTTAGTGTGGTGGTGGGGATTTCACTTTACTATTGGTAAGTTTTTTATCGATCACATGTTCATTCGTCCTCATTACATTTATTGAATGTCTGTGCAAATGCATCGCTATGCAGTTCACATAGTTCTGCTGGGTTTTTTATAAGTTCATCGTCCACTTTCAAGACAGTAGGAATATTAGGTTGAATGCAAGTTTTCTTCTTTATAGTAGCTGTTAAAAATCAACTCTTATTTTGTGAATTTGAAATCAGTTTTTCCACTTCCAATTCCTTTGTTTGTCGAAAGTTTTATTTTGCCTAAATACTGATTAGATGTATATGATACCGAAAAGCCATGTTGAACAATGCACATTTTTCTTGGCTTCCTGAACTTATATCTGAACTTCATAGTAAAATAATCACATTGAGGAATGTGTATTGTTTTCGTTATAATTGCAGCGATTAAGACCAAACAAGTCTTGATAGTGAAATGAAAAAAAAATGAAGTGTATTATTAGCCTCACTGGAGGAGGAAAACTTGTTACAAACTAAGATCACTTAGTACAATATCGGCATAGGACCGGTTGGTATTTGAAAAGCTTCTGACAAAATCCATAAAAAATTTCGTCCCGGTAGAAGTGAAAGAGCACATCCACTCAATAAGTTGACAGGCTAAAACTTTGTTATCAATGCCTAAAAATTCAAGACTAATATGTTGGGGCGCTGCGTATGAAAATTAAGCCCATATGTCTACCCTTTTCTAGTGAGCTTATTGACCACCTGTGTCCAACTGTTTGCTTCTGGCACTTTAATGAATTCAGCAAAATGTGAAGGATCATGTGGTGAATTCCAACACACAGAGGGCATATTGAAATAAACTCCAACTGACTTAGCTGTAAGTAGGGACGATAATTATGCGAATATTTGATTTAAATGTACACTTGCCACATGAGCAGCATTTGGCGGTCTACAAACGCAACCTATTTTGAAATGCTGATGGGAACAATCGTCTACAGTGACGAGTGTAGCATCGCCTAACCGTTCACAACCTCATGGGAAGAATATATTCCATGGGAAAACAGATCGCACACAGCGCAAACTAACAAATTACAGTGCGAACTTTGAAAGTGGTAACATTTTTTCACGTGGTTTAGGAATTCTCCGACTTGCTCTTTTGTAGGGTGTATTATATTGTGATTATCATCCTATCCTCTACAGTGGGGACATCTCACCCCGAAACATAAGAAAAAACCTAATTTTATTCGTCGGACAATTACCAGTTCGTATTGTACCTATTGCAGACTTAAGTCGTAAATAGATCTGCAATTTATTATATACTCATAGTCTCTAATACTAGTATTAACCAGGTTAATACTTAATAACAACTAATACTCAGATATTATATTTAATTTAACGAGCACTGTGCTCACTTATTTTCATATCATGTCCAGTAACTCCAGTAAAAAAGGAATTTCACCAACTTCTAAGCCGAATAAAAGGTCCAAATCTGTAACCCCTACAACTGACGACCCAGTGCTTGACAATGTCGAACCTTTGACTACTGAAAAATATGTGTATTGTACACAAATGTCTCTATCGTCACCAGATTCTCCATGTCGCAGCCCCTCTATCTCTACGTTCAGTATGCCAACGGTAAGACTGGTTGACATACAGGACACTATACCTACGTGCATCGAAAAGTCAGCACAGTCTACTAGACAGTATGTGCTACCAAGGCCTAAGTCTAAAATTTCAAAAACTAAAGAGTCCAATGGTCCACCACATACACACGAAAATACTGATAGATATAGTAATGAAATCCGACAGCTGCAAAACTCTCTATCCGAAATTAACGGCAAACTTGAGCAATTAGCACCCCTCACTCATATATGGGGCCTTGACACAGACAGAAATCTTGAGCAACTTACTAAAGCTGAGTGTATTTTGGAGTTTGTGGCTGAAGAAGTGACGAAGAGAGTGATGTCCTCCTTCAATGCAGTTGTGTATAACCTTCTCGACCGCACACACCCATCTAAGTTAAGGGATATTTGCCTTAGAGCATGCGGTATGTCGAACGTTAACTGCAAAGTCATCCGCCTTAGAAAAAAGTCAGACAGATCAACTTGCCCCCTTTTGTTTATGTTTAGCTGTTGTAACGATGCTAAGCAGCTTATTGATTTGAACAAAAACATTAGTTCACTAATTCCATACAAAAATATAAAAGTCACTCCAGACCTTACGCCCTGTCAACGTCGTGTAAGAAGACGCGAAACGATAGAATTGAATGGGAGTGTTACACTTAATAATCAGCCAGAAACAGTTTGCAACACAGCAAATAGTTTAAAACACACGAACAATAAGCATGACACCACTCCACATACGGCTGATCACTCTGTTGATCTAGATGAGTCTACAGATCAGAAACCTTTGGATAAGATACGAACCTCAACTGACACCAAAAACCATAACGACATGACTAATTCCAGCTGTTCGTTCAGTAATGTACTAAAATGTGAGTCGTGTAAGAACACACGTGCAACTATACCTATACACTTGAAAATTTGTCCTCCTAAAGATATTCCACAAGTAGACTTGAATGAACGTAAGTTCATCTCACAAAGACAACGAAAGACTCCAGCTCTGAAAATAAAGGGTGGGAAGACAAAACTCATGATACCGAGTAGGGAAACACGTAAGATTGAACCCAACTGCTCTATAGGTATCCCAAGAACAGTGAACAGGTTCTCCCCGCTGCCATCGTATAGCTTGCCTTCAGCACCTCCAAGTTGCAAAATGGGTGGTGGGCTTCAACGTAGCAAGCCTTCTTACACGCAGACTAACGAAAACTACCAGAGAACTGCCCACCCAAATCACCCTTTGAAGCCTAAAACCATAAATAAGAATGGTAATAATAGGTTTCTCACTCCAAACCCTACCTACATTCCCCAGGACCGCAACTGTAATTATTCTCAGAAAGAAAACTTGTCATACCCTTTACTACCGACCCCTCACATAACAACGGCTCCCACGTATATCAACAGTCGCAACTCCTCCCAGTTACGCGTAGCAGACCCCTCTCACGCTAACATAAATAGCCATAACAGAGGCTACGAGTCTAACCATCAAGACTATTTTGTAAATAACCATACACATCACAGTAGGCCTGTACAAGATTTTTTTGGAATAAGACCCTTAGTGACACCTCTGTTGAAGCATATAGCCCAGGTTATTTCAAACCACATGCAAACCATAAATTTGTTTCCTCCGTACAGTTTCCATCACAGAGTACTCCCACCCTTTCCTCCCAGGTGAACTCCCCAATCAACTTCACTAGCTCATTTGATACATCTCCCACTAAATCTAGCTATTAAAATACCGAGCTAATGAAGAACATTCAATCCCTCATTTCAAACTCATCTCACACCCACGAGGGTTACGACGACTTTATCCGGGATACCCTCACCCATTTTAACTTAGTAAGCCACTTGCTTAATATGTGTCTTATCAACGCTCGGTCGATCTGCAACAAAAAGACGGATTTAGCCCTGTTTGTATCCATATATCAACCATCAGAAATTATGATATCTGAAGCATGGACTAACAGTAATATTTCCGACCAAATTATATCTTTTGATAACTATTTCCTGTATAGAAGCGACAGATTGAATGGACGAGGTGGAGGATGCCTTATTTACGCTCACTCTAGCCTAAACTCACTACTATGTGATATGCCTGAACTAAACAAACTGAAGGATTCGGTGTGGATTGTATTAAAGCTGTCGAATTCCGTTACCATACTGCTCGACTGTGTTTATCGTCAACCTAACGCATCAATAGATGATATAGCAGTATTATCGGAGGTATTCACACTAGCATCATCTCTCTCATTCACAGGCAAGCTCATTTGTGGTGACTTCAATATGCCCGAAATTTCTTGGCTGCCAGTTAAAGCGCCGAG